TCCTCCAAAACAACTTGGTCAATTAATCCACAACTTCTGGATCTATTTTGCGCATTTGGTTGAGTATTGATGAAGAAATGAACAGTTGGCAGCTTGATTTRATGAGGTTGATTAAATTAGAGTTATTTCTCATTTCAGTGCCGAGAGAAATCAACAAGCCAAAAAAGATTCTCTGGCCAAAAAAWTTACAATATGCACATGTACAGTGAGAGGGAAAGAAACCTTCCTGACTACTATGAGGTTCTCTAATCCTGATTGGTGCTTTGGAAGCAGTAACAAGCAAGCAAAGATTACTGTCGATAACTAAAAACAGGGCATTTTAAATGTACTCATAACCTATTATAATTTGATAGTCTTAACTTGAACCTAAACCTGTAATGTACTCTTCCAGGAGGGTGCCAGATATTTTCCTTCAATCACAAGTRGTTRGTGAGTTCTCTTATCTCCACTGAAAAACCTGTTCTTCAAGAAATACTACACATGGTACATTTCATCAGCAATSAGCCAAAGAAGATTTGCTGCTACTCCATGAAGCCTCCCTAATGCAAGGAGCAGAGTAGCAACGTCTACTACCACTGGTACTAATACTAAGAATAAAAATTCCTACTASTTTTCYATGTATTTCTCAAAGGAATTTCGTGCTCAAACAAAGTCATCCTTCATTCCTCGCTGAATGGTTTCGCTCTTCTCCATTCCTTCCTTCCTACTCCGACAACTGGTAGACCCTCAGCCCAAAGGTCCGCGCAAGCAGCTTGACGTCGTATTTTTGAAAGGCCGTGCGGACCTCCTCCCTGGAAATGTCACCGTCCTTGTCGGCGTCCAGCGTCGCAAACATTGTCCGGACGTAGTCTTTCGACTGCGTGTCCGTAGCCGCCACCCCGTCGGACAGCTTGGACGTGACGGCGTCAAAGTGTGCCCTCAGCTCCTCTTTAGAGATCTGCCCGCTGCGGTCCGTATCGATCATGTCAAAGACCAGGTCGGCCAGGTCCTCCAATAGGAGCTTGTCGCTGGAGGCCCCGCTTCCAAAGTCCCCACTCTGGTTGCGGGCCAAGGTCTTGAAGACATCCCGCTTGGTAACGTCGGCCCCACCCATGCCGAGGGTCATGTACATGCTCAGAGCCTCAAAGTTGTAAAAGGCAAATTTCATTTCGTCGAGGGTGATGGACCCGTCCGAGTCCGTATCGATCGAGTCGAAGAGATAGGTGGTGTAGTCCGTCGTGTAGCCCATCTTGTCGACTAGATGCGTCCTCAGCTCTTCCGGTGAGATGACACCATCGCCGTTCGTGTCGATGCTCTTGAAGATGGAATCGACCTCGTCCATTATGTCGATTCCGTTGCCAGTGCCCGTATCCGCAGTGGTGGTATCCTCTGAGGAGGCCTCCAGGGCAAAAACAAAYCCAGGGCGGTGTCTACTGAATGGGAAMACGTTGGCCATAGCTATTGGCGTTGGTGTGGCTGCCGTCGTTATTGTTCTTGTTCCAGGGCCACTTTTCTGTATGGAAAAGGCGGATGTGCCCGACGGGCTCGCCGTCCATAACATCGTTGCAGTTGCCAAAAAGGCTACCATGTTCTCCTGTCGAACCATCATTGTATTTCGTCGAATAAATAAAGTATGCGTTTTTGCTTTCTGATCTTCTGCTTTTGTTTGGTTTGATGGCGATGATGCGATTGTTGTAATGCTTTCCAGTGAATGACAGATTTTGCGGTGTGTTGTATCATATGGAACAAACRTCAAAGCATCGAAGCACGGTGGAACACACCATAGCAGACGCCACATGCCATGACAATGAATCGATGATGACACGGATACCAACCACGTACCTGGTACCTCATCCTACTAAGCAAGTCTTTCCGAAGTTTGTATGTACGATACGTACCGTACGGTAGAGAAGCAGCTAAGCTACGTAGGTTACAGTAGGAAAGAATCYCAACACTAATCTTTTCATCCATCATCGCGGACAGAGGTTCGTACCGTACCTTACGGTACTAGAGCTACTAAGTACCGTACGAGGCCACGGCAATCGTAGAATTTCTCACATCCATGGCTGGCTGGCTTTCGACGAAATCACAGTGAATTGAAAACTGTATCAAAGCTGACAGCAACAATTGAATTGACTCAATTGACTAGATTGACTTTTGGGGATGAACATCCGTCAATCAGAAATCGATKCAGAGAAAAAGCGCGAAAGCTGCCGCCACTGTGCGAAGCCAACAAATTTTGCAGTTTGCAGAAATCCAACGTTATTTTTTCGATCGTACCTCTGGTACGGTGCTGTGTTGTAATTGGTATATGCTATCGATCATGCACACCGCACAATACCAGTGCGAATCGACAAACAGCATTCTCTACCCGTGAACAAGTCGTCGTCYCATCTCACATCMTYGCTTTTGACGACAACAAGACAGCATGTCACTGCCGATCGGATGGGAAAATCGGAGCAATTGCATGTCCGAAAAGGACATGAAGCTCGGTGGAATCGCTGCGACGAAATTCGTCGACAAGAGCCTTGCGGCCGGCGTTCACGGCGACCCGTCGTCCTCTGGCARTCCAGATSGGTCTCGCGGTGTGTATTCAGGGGGGAATGCCGGCGTCTATCAGACTAGCGACCAGGTGCGGGAGCACTACCTCCATCAAATCGAGCAGCAGCAACGGCAACAACAAGCAAACAGCGGCAGCGTCGGTCCCATTTCGAGAGCCGACCGGCACGCAGCCGGTTTGGGCGGCTGCCACACCGRAAATTCGACAACAAGAACASCATCATCCTCCACCCCTGATTTCTGGGAAGATCGCCAAAGAATGAGGGCGCTGGAGGCCGAGGGATACCGCACCAAGGGGGGGAACATCGGGAAACAAATACAGCAGCAACAGCTCGACTCACCGGAACCATCAGCCGCAAGCAACAASGTAGTCGAGAACAAAAAMCAACGCGGGAAAACCGAGAATATTAGCACCAAGAACAATGCAGAGAACAACAACAAGAACAACGCCAACATGGCTCTGGTGAGGGTGGCCACCTACACGCTAGAGCAGCTGGCGGAGACATTGGAGCAAGAACAGCTGCATTCATCAGACGGGAGCAACAATGCCGCTGCCATTCCGATGGAAGAACGAGCGGCCTTTGCCAGGGCGATCCAGCGGGCCATGCAGGCACTCGCCGCCTCAAAAATCTAGAAGAAGAATTTTGCATATCTAACGATCAACTAAGCAACCAATTGGATATCTTCCAATTGTCTACATAATTGTTTCTGCGCCTTCTCTACAATGTATGGAACTACAGAAACACATTCGTTGTAAACACCAGTCGTCCGAAGCACACTTTGTWGGCATCTACAATGTGGTTTGCTCTTCTGCGCCTTTTCTTCCTTGATATTGACCGCTCTTGTGTTTTTTTTTCATTGCCGTATGGTGACCCAAACGCCGGAACAATTTGTTGCCCAGCTTGCTGGCAAATCACAGGCCCTTATTCGTCTCCAAAGTAGGCCCGYTCCTTTTGCTGCCGGCGGTGCTTCCGGCCCGCCCTCCGGTTCTTGTTCTTGATGGCCTGTGGAACCACGGGCTTGTGGCGCCTCGTAAAGCCGAACTGGTTCCGCTCGAGCCGCTTCAGGACCACATCATCGAATGCGGGCGATTCGTTGCCGCCGTCGTATTCGTGCACGCTCCCCCGGGCCCCGGTTGTGCCGTCGTATCCTTCTGGCACCGGGTTGTGCTGGCAGTACTCTTCGACGGCCTCCTCGTCCAGGATGTCCAGTCTCCACAGCGGATCGAAACCCGACCAGAGTTCCTCGAGTCGCAGGTCTCTCCGGGTGGAYTCCTCCAGGATGTGGACGACGTAGTTTCCGCAGTCAACGATGTTCCACGACTCGGTGGCCGACGCGCTGCTTCCGTACGGCGCAGCCGCCGTGGCCGACCGGTTCTTGGTGTTCCGCTTGGCCCCAGGGGCGGTCCCGTCCTCGTCGAGGCCCCGGTCCTTCATGTGGTCGATCAGGACACGGGCCAGGGWGGATATCATGTAGGGGGTGGTGCGGCTGTCGACAAAGCTTCCGCTTCCGCTGGTGCTTCCACCGGCGGTGCAAAAGACCATCCCGTCCGCACCTCCCATCCGCGGCGCCTCGGGATCGTCGGGCACGACGGCGATGTTGGTCCCTCCGTGGGCTTCCAGAAGCCGCTGGATCTCGTCCGCAGTCAGCGGTGTGTGGYGGATCACGGGGACCACCACCGGGGCCCCAGCTGATGAGTTCTGCCCCCCGCTCCCCTGCCGGGCCCGCCGGGCCTGAAGCCAGTCGGGCGTTCCTTGCTGTTGTTGTTGTTGCTGCTGCTGCTCAGATGGAACTCCCTCCCGCTGGGTCCGCGCTTCTTCGCGTTCCAGTTCCCTCCGCACGAGTTCTTCCTCCAGCTCTTCCTCGCGCTTTAGAACGGCGTCGAGGCGCTCCAGGATCTCCTCGTCCGACAGGGTCCTTTGCTCTTCCTCCGTCAGCTGCAGGAGGGCCTCGGCCTCTTCTTCGGTTTCCTGGATGGCCCGATCCAATCGCTCCTGCTCTTTGACTTGGCGAGCGACGTCCAGGATAGTTTCGATGCGCTCGCTGTTGGCCAGCATCGACCGAGAATCGCTGGATTTGGAATTGGAATCAGAATCTGCTCCGCCCCCTATGGGTGGGATCCATTCCTCCCCTTCGTCGTTGTCGTCGTCTCGTTTGCCGCTTCCTCCGTTCGCGGAAGACGAGAGCGATCGCAACATCGAGCGATTCCTCGTTCTTCCAGCGAACGAGCAACGCTTGGATCTAACATCAGAGCTCGAAATGGCTCGCAAACAGAGGCCTTCTCTAGACATCGGTGCCGTCGTCGTCGCGAACAGCGATTCCGTCAGCGGCCCTCGTCGAAGAACCACACGGGACGTATGCACCGATCTCCACATTTCCTTTTGATTTTACAAGATATTGATTTCCGATTTGGACGGTGCGAGCCTTTTATCTGTTCTATCTTGGAGTATATTTGTTTGAAGCGAGCACTTGGACAAGGTTCTTACTTGTGCATCGACGGCGATCCCGTGCTTGGTCTGCGCAAGCAATCAATCTACAAGTTTTTAGTTTTTTTCTTTGCATCTTTCGTCCGGGTCGTAAAAATATCCGACGAGCGGACAGACGGTAGCAATCAGCTCACCGTACAGTAGTACTACGGGTGACCAGTTATTCGTACAACTTGAACGTACTTTGCTTGTACTCGTATCAGGCGAGCCTCCTACCGGTATCATTCCAAAAATCAGGGTTTCGCGAGCAAATTTATGGTGAATAATAACCTTACTCTTCTAGTCTTTATTCTTCATTGAAAAAAAAGTATTCAAACAATATTCATACCTACGGCAGACACAACGTTTTGTTCCTTGAGTGTCGATACAAAAACGAGTTTTCATCGGTTTTGGATGCCATTTTGCTTGCGAAGACTAGTACGAATGTGGAATATGCTGACTTGGCAATCTGCTGGTCTAGCGCCATTTTCCCGTGTCGTCTTCCCCTGWTTTTGAGAATTTTTTTCTAGTAGACACTAATACGAATAMTTAGAGCGCCAAWAGTTGACTTCGGAATCTTATTGTGTTGATAAACAAGCAAAGAGCAATGAGTTGCGGACCAACAGCGAAGTCGAAGAAACCCACACGCATCGTGTAAGGACTTGAGGGACAAAACAAGTACCAGTTTCTTTTAACTTCCGAAAGACTTCCACTAGCTGATTTCGTAGTTTGGGTGGACCGCCAGCAGTGTTTTCCCTTCTTCCTTTTTGCTCCTGGGAACGTCCCCCACGGTTACTAGGATCCGGTCGACCTCGATGAGACGCTTGATCACCAGGTTTACCTTTTTCCGCATCGCATCGAGCTGCTCCACAGAGTCCCCAATGTCGCGCTCGACCTGCTCSAGATACCAGTYCGAGGCCTGCTTCCAGGTCCAGTAGGTCTGGTCGGTTATCGCGCCCCCAACCGACTTCTCGATCTGCTCCTCCTCCAGGGCCCGGAGGTGGCAGGCAATGGCGTTCGTAATGGCCTCGTATTCCTCGAAGGAAATCTTGGTTTTCTTCTTTTTCTTCTTCTTTTTCTTGCCCGCTTTTGCTCCCGAGTCGTCCGTTTCGGCCTTTGGTTCTGGMGGGCTCACCCCCGTCGCATCCATCCCAGGGGCCGTGTCTCCCGCTCCTTCATCGCTGGCGGCTGGTGGCTCCGCTGGCTGTCGCTCCTCTCCAACGTATTCTCCCGGTCGGTAGACGTGTTGCGGTTGCTGTGTTTCCAGCCCCTGGCTGTCCGGCATCTGCGAGTCCGGTCCGCCGCCGTTGTCGCTGTCSTCGTCGCCGTCGTCCCCTTGCTCCAGTACCCCATCGCCACCGCCGTAATCGCCATAATCATCGTCGTCGTCGTCGACTTCTATGTCTCTGGTTTCCACCTGGATGATCGAAGTCTTGAGCAGCCGGTAGGCCTCCCGGACAAAGGCCGGGGTGATCTCGTCACAGCAGTGYAGCCTGGCAAGGGCCTCGGACAGCCGGACCATCGACTCTAGCTGGCGGACGGTGATCCGGTAGGCCGACCGGGACCGSCCGAGCGAGTCCCCCTGTCGAAGCTTGCGGTAGCACTCCACCATGACCCTTTGGGACTCCGGCGTGATTTTTGGGTGCAGGGTCCGGGCAAACTTGATGTACCGGCGYATCTGGTCCATCGTAAAGGGGGCCTTTTTGGCGGGATCGTCGTGGTCCTCGCCGCGGTGRACCTTCAGAATGTGCTTGGCGACCTGACGGTCGGTTTCCGGGTTGCAGTCGTCGAGCACTACGAAAAACAAATCGAATCGGCTYAGGATGGGGGCCGACAGCGTCACGTTTGCCTTGAGGGTCTTGGTGCGGTCGTAACGGCCATAGATGGGATTGGCGGCCGCCAGGATCGAGGCCCGGGCGTTGAGGGTGGCCTGGATCCCGGCCTTGGTGATGGAGATCGTCTGCTGTTCCATCGCCTCGTGGATGGCCACCTGGTCGCGCTCGTCCATCTTGTCAAACTCGTCGATGCAGCAGATCCCGTTGTCGGCCAGCATGAGGGCCCCGGCCTCGAYGCAGAATTCACCCGTGTCGGAATCCCGCTGGACSGCCGCCGTGAGACCGGCCGCSGACGAGGCCTTTCCGGAGGTGTAGACGGTCCGGTTCGGCAGAAAGGAATGGACGTATTTGAGGAACTGCGACTTGGCGGTGGAGGGGTCCCCGATGATGCAGCAGTTGATGTCCCCCCGCAGCTTGATCCCGTCGCCCGTCGTCTTGTGGACACCCCCCAGCAGCATGAGGAGAATCCCCTTCTTGACCTCCCGGTGCCCAAAGGTGGCGGGGACCAACGAATCGACCATCTGCTCATACAGGCGCGGGGAGTTCCGCATGGCCCGGAGCTCGGCCCGCTGGGCGGTCGTCATCTCCATCGCTACCTGCTTGGTGGTCGGGTCGTCGTCCAGGGAGGCGGACCGGTCACTGGTGGTTCCGTACAGGGCCCCCGCCATGACCTGCTCGTTGGTGTTGGCCTGCTTGGTCGATTCGAGGCTCATGACGGAAGTGGCCACGAAGCAGGTCCGGTAGGTCAGCTCCCTGACCCCCAGMGCGGACAGGCCCTTGACCCCGCCGCCGCCCCCCGAGGCCGCGTCGCTCGTCTTGTAGCCCGGTGCCTTGGTGGAGGTCACCGAGTCCCCGGMCCGGGCCAGGGCGCTCCCGTCCGGTAGCACCACCAGCGTCCCGGTAAAGACGCACTTGTCCCCGGCCTTGCAGCGCTCGACCATTTCGTTCCGAAGGATGACGTCCGTCGACCGGGGCATCGATCCCGAAGGGATCTGGTGGGCGGACTCCTGCACCCGGAGCTTCTGCCAGTCGACAAACTCCGATCGGGTGGCCTCGAGCGTAAAACGCATGGGGGACTTGTTCTTGCAGCGGGGGTTCCGGCACAGCGTAGGGCGGGTAAAGTGGTAGTTCTGGGGGATCTTTTCGGCCAGCAAACCGCACTTATCGCACCGAAAGGAGGCCACCAGCAGCTCCGGCCGGACGTCCGAGGTCCGGGTGATGGTTCCCTGTAGGCTCACCAGTGACCCCACCAGTTCCATCCGGAGGCCCCGGACCGATTTCATTTGGCTCGGGAGGCAGTTGTAAAAGGCGACGAAAAAGACGAGGGGATCCGTCGGGGTGTTGTTGCCCCTTCCCCCCCCGCCGTTCCCCCGCTCGATGTACCGGTTCAGGGACGGGTGCCGGTCCACAACAAAGCCCAAAACGGCCCTGCGAAGGTGCATTTCGAACCGGCAGAACTCCCCCTGGATGGCCTCGGCGAGTTCCGGATCGTCCCTGAGCAAGTGCGCGAAATTGACAAAGAGCGTRTTGGCGAATCCGTGGGACGAATTGTGGCGGTTGTCCTCCTCGTCCTCGTCGTCGCTGTCCTCSTGAAAGGCATTGTTGGCGTTGTATTGCCGGCGTTTCAGTTGTCGCTTGGCCAGCAAATCGGCTTGCTCCTGGTAGGGATAGATGTATTCGGTGCTGTGTTCGCTGTCGCTGTCATCGTGGCTCTGCTGCTGCTGTTCACCATCGTCCGTGTTGACTGCTTGTTTGCTGTTAGTTCCAGAGTTGTATTGGATTGCGTTGCATTGGATTGGATTTCGTAGAACGAAGTTGAGTTGATTTCGACAAAATTAGAGTGAATTTGGTATTCAAGGCGTGTGTGAGAGACAATGAAAATGCATTCGAAAATTTGAGTCTCGTGCGGTTTGAGACCATTTCGAATGAACCGAATCTAGTAAGTATCGATCGATCGATTTGCTTTTTGTTTCATGTAATGACCAAATAATCYCTCTTGAGTTGCCGTGTGTTTCCTATCATGTCTTTCCTGGGCGCATCATAGCGGCAGCACAAAGCGCAGCACACAACGCAGCAAAAAGAACACCAAACAACATCAACGACAAAGAGAAACACAAACACAGCCTTGCTACGCCCACTCTACTCCCGCGGTGCCATGCAATGCCATGTTCTGCCATGTCGTGCCACGCCATCCCATGCCGGACTCACTAGTTTTGCAGAAACTCCTCAAAGGCCCCCCGGACCAGCTCCCCGCTCTCGTCCAGGACCTCGTAGGCCGCCACGGCGTTGTCCCCGCCGTCGGCGTCCTGGTGGGCCCCCATCAGGGCCCGGTCGGCCGTCGCGTCCCGCCCCCGGSCGCTTGCGGAGGGGCCGGTTCCTCCCTCCATGGCGGCCACCTCCGCGGCGGCGGCCGCGGCCTCGGCCTGCGCCAGGGGATCGTCGTCGTTGTCGTTGTCGTCGTCTTTGCCGTCGTAGCGAGCCGCGCCCGTGGCCCGGCTTTCCGGGGTGGCCACCACGGCACCGGGACCTTCCCCCCTAAGGCCCGGACCATCCCCCCCGCTCGTGGGCGGCCGGTAGTCGTCGTCGTACAGCATGTCGTCGTCGTGTTCGTCCATCGTGGCGGCGAACGGTGGGTCGTGGTGCTRCCGAACTTGCGCTCGTGGTGATTTTTCGATCAACGGATCAACTGGTGTGGTGGGCYGTGTTTTGCTGCGGAAAATAAACCTGTTCGTTGATCTGTTAGTTTCCGCAGAGTTCGTCGATGGTACCGGTATGGTGGCTTTCTTTCTCCGTTGCTCCKGCTGTTTTTGTTTTGMMGTACCGATGGGAGATTGGCGCTGTGCGATTACATACTCATACCGTACCGTTACGCACCGTACGGTACGAACACGGGACAAAAAGGTCTGTTTCAGTTCAGTTCCGATGCCGGAAGGGATTTTGATTTGGCGCGCAAACAATGACAACGATAAAGTGAACACCCAAAAAATACCTACCGTACGTGCGCTTAAGCGCACGCGAACAAAAACGATGTTGATGGAGCGCGCCCAGACCGGCGGTTTATTACTAGATACATTACTGTAGATGGCCAGACGATTCGAGAAATCTATGCACACGGAGGGCGAGCGCATCTTCGCGGAACAGATGCATAATTTTCTGTCCCTAGTACCGGTAGAGCTCCTTCCGCGGCGCTCGTTCATGTGAAGAAGTACAGCACCTAGAAAATCTTTCTGTCAGTAGCTGTATCCTTGTAGTACTTTACTTCATGCTTCTAGTAGAAGATAGAATATGTACTACTACAGTACAACTGCAGAATACCATTTCGTAATGGTGTACCGTACGGTAAGTATGCAAGAACCTTTTCACTCAAATTTCTAACTCCAATAAACCTTCACGATTCTTCAGTCACGGACGGACGCGTTCCATCTGCCAACGATACATTTTGCAGACCGTGCCGTACGGGACTGGAGTACCGTCCAAGTAGAGTGATTTAACGGTACAAGAATAGACAATCATTGTAATTTTGTTCGTTCACGTCAAAATAATACAGTACGAAGAAATACCGTACACGACTTGGGTTCGCACCAGGCATTTTTTCGAAAAGCCATGCGTTTGAAATTTGTTTCACAGCGGTCATAGCAAGAAATATATCAACGAATGCTATTCCCAGTTTCTATCATGATAAAAATAACTTTATATATATTCGTAATAATTGCCTAACTTTCCGCATAACATTAAACCTCAGTAGAATTGCATGATAGAATAGAAATTCGTTGAGGCTCTAAAACAAGAAATACCGACGTATATAGGAAAATAAAGCACGACTTAATAGTATCACGGAGTACTAAAAAAAGAAAAAATGTTRAGTAATAATTTCTTTTTATGTGCAACAGCATGAATAGACGCTCTTCCCTTGTCCAAGAAAGTTCCAACTTTCAGACGACAGTGGTTTCAGTATGGTACAAAARCAAGTAAAAAAATAATTATCGCACTGTACTTCAGTAGTACGAAAAACTGTAATAATGATGTAAGCTTCTASAAGGGGATACTACTGTAAGAAGCTTCCTTTGATCAAATGTAAGACGAAAGGGCGAAAAAAACCCAACATGTGCGCGCAACAGTTATGCTTAACATACTAACAAAGAAGAGCAACTTCACATTCCTTGTACTACCACCCGTAATCCGYACTCCCTCGAACTTCGATTTAGTCAACATTACAAACACCCCATCAGCATCCTAATCAATTATCCGCTCCTTGCCGAGCCATCTTAGAGACTAGGGGAGACCTGAGATAAATCTACAAGTCACTGCGCCATGAACATCTACACCCTTCAYAAGGAAGGCTCTTTCCAACCGCCACCACCTGAGGGGGACAACGAAATATTGGGACTCATCCAATCTACGATTCGAAATGGTAACAATAGTTCATCAAATTTGCCGACCGTCGTAGAAGAAACAACGAACCAGGGTAAAAGCTCGTCCCACACCTCGAAGACAGGTCGCAGCGGGGAGTCGGTTTCTTCTTCCGGAGACAAGACAGCTCACCACAAAAACAATAGTGCCCGGAATGGCAACCGACGATTGGACGATACATATGGCGACATCGACGGTGATCAAGGGGGAGCCGAGAACACAGCGGTCCCGAAAACAAATAGCTTAGGGGGAGCGTCACCTTCGTCTTCCGGAAAGAGGGAGTCCGGCTCCAGATTGGCCAACAAATTAAACAACAGCGCCCAGGATTTGAGAAACAGCCTCTATTCTGCAAACAACTACGGAAATCATAAAAAATTCGYCTCCTCCCTCATCGAGATCCAAGCCAAGAATGAATTTATGGTCTTCGACAACGACACTGATTTAGTATCCCATCTCACGAATCCACCTGAAATTCGAACGTCGCCGCTCGAAGACGAGATTCTTATCGTCGATCTCGAAGAATTCGCAGAACTCGACGACCAGGTCTCYGCCGTTTCTCTTCCTAAAGCTCTAAAGAAAAGCAAGTCCAAAAAGAAAGGCTCTAGCAGTTGCAAGTCGCGCAGCAACAGTAGCAGGCAAAAYTTTGATGAGGACGGCAACAGACTAGATAGGAGAAAGAGCATCAAAAAGTCATCGAGCAAAAGAAAATCCAAGTCGACTAAATCATTGTCGGTAACAGGACAAGACACGAAAGAARCCAAAAAATCTTCTACAGCTCGACAAGCAAAGGGAAAAGTGGAACGAAAATTGGAGGTGAGCAGAGAAATTAAATCGGTCAAATCACTTCCTACGATGGAAGCAGAAGATACCGAAGGGATATACCAGGCGAATTCGCATCAAGAATTGTCAGCAACTGATAGAATGATAAGGTCGGTCAATTCAGAACCGATAATGGGTGGAGAAGAGAACGAACTACCACAAATTCGCCCGCCTACGTTTTGTCGGGGGGAAAATAGTATCCCAGATAAAAACGATAGTTCCCACAAGTCTCATGCTAGCAGTGGAAAGGTCAGTTCCAAAACTCTAGGATCCACGAGGCGTGGGGGGAAGAGACACAAACAAAAATCAAAAGAAACATTACAAGAAGATTCCGATGATGTTCAAAATCTAGGTCAGTCTTTGTTTCGTAAAACGAGTAGCAAGAAAAAGAGCTTAGCTGGAGCGACAGACGAAACCAAGACCGGAGGAGAGTATATTGAAACGATAGGAACGATAGATCAACAGCTCGTCCATAGTACATTAAACGGCACTAATGCGATGGAAGATGACCAACGATCATTCGGCATGCTTAACGAAGCCAACGAGACCTCAAAAACGCATGGCGAACGCAGCACACAGGATGAATACTTGATGATGTTTGATTCCGAGGGGAACGAGAAGAAGAGCAATTTATCCAACGAAGAGTATCCATTATCCCCTTGCAATAGTAATTTGCGGGACCATAGCAACGCCTCAAGAAGTAGCTATCACGAGGACAACATCTATGATGCCGAGGAGGATTACAGTGTGGATGAAATTCAAGGACAGCAAGAAAACCACATCAAATCTGGCGATATCCACCAAGAGTTTGGGCCCACGCTGGGTGCGCAGACGACGCAATCATTGCCGTCGTCGACTTCCGACAAGACTACGTTGCTTAAAAAGTGGTGGCAGCGGTCGTCCAAGACCATTTTCAAGAAGAAGAAAAAAGACCGAACAACCACCACCGAGATTGGTAGACCATCGGATCATTCCCAACAACACCTGATCAAACATGCGGTCAGGTCGTGGTGAGCCGAATATGCGATAGGGCGATGACGGCGCGTTGACTTCAACGGCCTCAAGAAAAGTAACTTTTTCCAAGGACTCTCAAACTTTCACAACTACCTTGTTGTAAAAAATCCAACATCATTCATTGATGTAACAGTACTCTGGAATACGTCATCGTTTCTTTCAAGTCGGGGACTTTCTTGAGTAACAGTAGTCTTTCATATTTGAAGTAGATTATGTAAGGCAGGGTTCGTGTTGAAACACTCCGTTATTTCAAATTACAGCAACATTACTTCGTGTCATTTAATACGCTGTATTATTGACAACCTTGTGCTTCCAGGGGTGATCCAAAACTTTTTTAAAATAATATCATGACATCACACCAAAAACATGCCACCATGATGTGGTAGTAGGATGAAGATGGAGAAAAWCTGATGCTGCCTTATGGAAAACATCATTATGTAGTGTTATCATCACTAATACATAGTACTATAATTTGTGAAAGCCTATCTCAGAAATTTCTAGGATTATGGAATTCTAAACTTTTACAACACGTAGGAGTATGAATCAGTATTATTTTGTCTTTTCCATTTGCATTTCCAAGAAGATCTAGAAGGTTTAGAAAAGCAGTTGTAAAGTAGCACTAAGAGGTACAGCAGCAGTTTAGCTTCATCCTCTAAATGGCAAGGAGGAAAGAGCACTAACTAGTACTAGTACTAGGAGTAGTAGTAGAAATCCATAAACAACCTAGTCTTTTTAGTGGCTTAATTTTTTTGGAAATAGATTCTTGATGGGTGTTGTGAGTCAAGAGGGGTTGGACCTTTCCTATCCAATAACTTTCCTCCAGAAATAAGCAGATTGGATTTTAGATCTTTTGTAAAATTACAAAGAATGAGGTACCCCTGCAAGAGAAGGAATATCATCCTTCTTCTCTAAATAATTGAAATTTTGGCTGATTTTGCAGCTGGTGGAGGTCCTGCTGGATAATTTCATCAACTTATAAATTACAGATTGTAAATTACAGACAACAATAATGTCAGACCAAATATCATTGGTGCTGCCCTTCCTATAGATACTCTGGAACCAGTGGAGCTGTGTCTGTTTCTCTTTTCTTCCTTCACACTGAGCATTGTAGGATTTCTACAATTAACGCATTTTATTACTCCAAATTACTAACTTGTGTTCTTACAATGGTATTGGCTACAGTGCACTGGACTACCACTATCTTTAGTGCACGGTAGCCAATAACCTCCTTGAAGAATTCTCACAGCCCTGAACTTCACAAAGAAACAAAAAGAAACTTGTTTTTATTGGAGAATCCATGTAAACCCCAGCATACCATTTTTTGCAAATATATAAGTAGTACCTTGACAAAAAAACAGATTATTCATTTTTAACTTAAACATTCAGTCATTATTGTGACAACCAGTCATTCCAGTATTTAAGAGAACCATATTGCTYCCAAGACTCAAAAATCAGTCATTATTGTGAGGATTAGTCATTCCAGTATTTACAAGAACCAAATTGCTCCCAAGACTCAAAAAATCAGTCATTATTGTGAAAACAAGTCATTCCAGCAGTATTTAACAGAACCAAATTACTCCAAAGACTCAAATAAATAGTACTTGTAAGTCAAATTTGTGATTGGTTGTTCCAAAATGTAAGAGAATAACCTACTAAATCCTCCTGGGACTCACAAAGTCAGTGATTATTGTAATCAGTCAGTCTGGAATTAAAAAGAAGCCAACAACAACAATAACTATGGACAACTTTGGTTATAGTTATTATGGCTATGACATGCATGATGCACCAACTGATGCCTTGTTGGACAAGTTGAGTCTTACTACAAAAAATAGTGCCAGTTCCTCTCTTCAAAATTTGTGGAAGAGCATCATGAAGCATAGCAACACCAACATTGACAGCCTCTACAATAACATTTAGCCACCAGCAAGAAGGGAATACAAATATTTCAATTCCCATTCAATATTGCAAATGTAAGAACTGTTCACAAAATACAGGGAAGATCTTTGGAATGTGCTGGTTTCAACTTGGTCTTACACAAGCAATTGGTGAATTTATGTTCTTGTTGTCGTGCTTTCAACGACAAGACSAGTTAGTAAAACTTCTTCCAATGGTCTGTTTGCAAGAACACCTCTTCTGCTTACAAAAACAACACCAACAAAAACAATACCCAGCATACACAACAAATTAATGGTTTCTGTTCATATTTCAGAAACAACAAACAGCCAAAGTGCTTTCATTGAATAGCTTCTACTACTACATTCTTTTCAGAGCATAACTTCAACCTTACTGGCACTAACTTAGTTTTTGCACCGTAGAAACTATTTGCATTAGCGAGTCAATCATGGAAGTCGAAACAGTAAAAAAAGACCAAAACAGTTTTGACTGTAATTGGTTTGCTCAGCGGGGTCTGGGGGGTGGATTTTCAAGAAACTTTCTAATAGGATGTTTTTAGTTGTAGAGCCAGTAGTAGGGTTTTGAACTATAAGAAACATCGTAAAACAATAAAGTTACGGGAATGAGATGTCAGCTTAAATGCTGGTGGCATGCGACTAAATTGGAAATGAATTCGACTTCCACTGCCACCCAAGCAGACCAATCTAGGTATGTTTGTATTTTCCTACAGTATTTTGTTTACTTCAGGGGTCATAATTTAGAGGGGGTGCGCAATGCATCGAAAACTCGTATTCCATCCGTGGCAGGAATAAGAAAATTTTAACCCCAGGGATTTTTTTCAATTTTATTTTTACTGCATATCACTGCAAAAAGTGTACCTGAAAGACCCCATGCACAGGAACACTTCTAATCACTCTCAAATTTTCAAAACTTCACATGCACATCTCTCACAAAGTTGAGAGGCAAGTAGTAAGTATATTTTCACTGTTGTTACTCTCTGCAGTTCAAACATTGAGGTGCTGACACAGGGCTGGTGGTAGTAACAGACTACTACTASTAGTAGATACTAGTAGTACTGTATTTACAGTAGAAATAGTCTGTCCTTTGTCCAGTCAGTCCCACCAGTCTAGTCCTTAGCAAAAATTCGAACTGTCTGTCCTTCATCCGTTTCTCCCCCTTATTCCCCAGTAGTAATTTCTATTAATAATCTAGTCAATATTCAACATTGGAAAGGTACACAATCATTCTATTTGACGCTGAAAATATTGGCATATTCAGAATCCTCATGAAAAACTGGGCTAGACAGGGTACTCAAAAATTCTAATGGTAGTATTTTTGATAATGTTGTTACTACTTAAAGGTTGGATAGATTTACTAGTAGTATTATKCAGTAAAAATGAAATTGAAAAAAATCCCTGGGGTTGAAATTTTCTTGTTCCTGCCACGGATGGAATAGGATCTTATCGTCCTGACGCTGAAAAATGCGCGCGTTGCACACCCCTCTAAATTATGACCCCTGATTTACTTTTCTTCAATAATTAACTCCAACCCAAATGGACACAAAAGATGAAAACGCCTCACAGAACGCGCCAAATTGAGCATTCATAAAAATGCACGAGCCGTCTGGTGAAAACTGCCAAACAAAGGAAGCGGGAGTGTTGATTTTCCCTTCGTCGCATGTCCAACGTAGTACAGTATTTATTTTGATACCGATCGTCGGCAAACGAACCCATTTACCTTGCTTCACATATCAGTTTTAGGCGTTAGAAGCTAGCTATCAGACTGTGGCAACAACGCTAAACCGGAAGAAATACAACCAGAGATTCATCCGCAATGGGGGGTCCAAAGGAAGTCCAGTTGCAAAAACAAGAAGAAGTCGTCAGCTCTGCGCAGACGATGGATGTCGAAAACAGGCACATTGGCACCGTCAAAACAAACCCCATAGAGAGCGACAAAAAATCCAAGCATGTCGCTGCTGGTTCCAATCCCAAAGCAATCGAAACCGAGGGGAACACAACCACCAAAGCTGAGTCCGCCAATTCTGCAACCCAGCCCGCGCCGGAAATCGGACAAGGATGGACCATGAGCACCGAATACCACGGGCCACACTCCAAATCTCCGGGACGGTCCTTTAGCATCTTTTATTCTCCCGAGCACAAATATGGTTTCGGCTCTCCGGCCGAGGCCAAAAAATTCTTGGCTGCTCTCGCAATGATCGAAGATGGTGACGAACGACTGGCCTACAAGGCATACACCGCTCTTGGCCAAAATACTCGAAAAGAACAAAAGAAGAGCACATTGGATGACGTCCCCCTACTACCTATGTTATGTACACCGCCAAACTTCGTGCAAAGATGATGGCGGAGAACAAAGATAAACACTACGTTGTTGATTCCAAAAAGCTCGGTGAGCACTGGAAAAGGCTTTCCACCAAAGAAAAAGAAAAGCTAAAGGTCGATTATGACAAGCAGTTAGAAGTCTATAAAGAGAAAATGAAACAATGGCAACTCCGGAATCCTGGCCTGAACAAGTTGGCCAAGCCAAAGAAAAAACGAAGGAGCTCTGTAGCTAGCGATTTCAAGGACAATACTGCCAAGAAACTTTCGCCTTCCTCCGGTCCCTGCAAGAAAGTCAAAACAATGAAGAAAACAAATGAGAAAGATGAGACTGARATCTGGGCAGTGGAAGGATTCCGCGACCGACGCATCAATAAAAAGACCGGGAACGTAGAATATCTAATCAAGTGGAAGGATTGCCCCGAATCGAGCAACACGTGGGAACCATCCAAAAATCTGAACGCCGATGATGCAGAGGAATGGTGGCGGCAGGAAAAAGAGCGACAGAGCAACGAGGCCCTGCGAACGAAACGCATTGAGGAAAGCACGCAGCGATTATTAAAGAATATCAACGCTTTGCTATCCTCTTCCGAGGATGATGAGAGTATTGGCGGCGACATGGAGAGTACACAATATGGTACCTCCCGAAAGAGGAGGCGCGCCCAGCACAAATCAATTATAGCTGGTGACTACGAAGCGATCAGCGAGCAACAATCGGTTGTTACGAATACCGACTGCTGCCAAGGGACAGTACCGGTAGCGGGGACTAACGAAATTAAGATGGCGACAGGGCCGAATCCCGTTGAAGACAAAACCTGGAATTGGGACGATGCCTCCCAGGTAAAATTTCGACCTATTCAAAGGATTTCGGTCCATGACAAACGCGCTCGGGAWTTAGTGACAGAGGCGAGGATCAACGGAACCCCCGTTGTGCTGACTGATCACGTCGGATGGGCTAACTTTGCACTGCGCTGGTTGCGTCGCCGGAAGGATTTGGGTTCCGCACCCCCTGCTACAACTACAACCCAAGAAAAACTTTCTACCGAGGTAGAATCAACGGGGGAACCAAAAGGGCATGTATCACTAAGTGATGCGGTTCCGGTGAAAAATGCATCTATGGAGTTGGAAAACGAAGAACATCAACAAGCAAAGAGTGGTAATGCGATTATTGTCTCATCCGATGCCGAGGTTAGTGACAAGGGTGCACTTAATAAACCGGAAGGCAAAGAAACCGAGACCGATGAGATGCACAAMAAAAYGAAGAGTGGACAGAACGAAAGGAATGACTTGAATGATGAAGAATCAAAAGGCGGCGAAGCAGTCAGTGATGGGAGCAACGGTACAAATATTCACAACAATGTCACACAAGAGATGAACGGTAACGGAAATGCGAAAATTTCTGTCGTCGGCAACAAACCACTCGATCTGTCGGAAACAACTTGGTATCTCGATGTAGAGGCCATGTCAAAGGACATTGGCGACGAAGAGGTTCCTGTTGTGAGGAAAAACTACAACGAAAGCAAACCCATCTCGGGAAACATTTTGGCTTCGAAATTTTTCGAAGTGGGATGGAATAATAAGAAAAAAGGGTCTCCACGAAAGAGGCGAAAATCGATTCTGTACCTTCACCAGTGGCAATTTCCGCTTTCGGTAGAGGCCGGTAAAAAATTATGTCACCAGAGTGCTCCGCTCCCAAACCATATTCTTGGCGAAGACCTACTCAAGTATTGGCTTGATAGGGTTAAGCTAGATTCTCCTCTACAATATTTGTTTATGGGAAAAGCTGACACCATGTCGAGAATCCACAGAGACAACGGCGGTCTTGCGATATCAATAGCCCCGATCATAGGGGAGAAAGAATGCATATTAGTTCACCGGGACGATGGCCACGCATGTCTCTACCAAAATCTGGCAGGACTGGACCCCAACGAAATCGATCTAAATGCTTACCCTCTACTTCCACATGCACGGATATGGAAGTCCACCATTGTGCCTGGAGAAATCCTCCTGATGCCTCATGGGACGTACCACCAGTGCCGCAATGTCACTCCATGCCTATCGTACAGCCGCTTTCACCTCGACGGGGTCAATCTCAGAGCGTTCCTGCACAGCATGATGGACGGGGATGCACCCGAGCTTAACCAGGACGAGGTTATATGGAATGCAACGCGGGAGCTCATCGACACTGTGGACAAGGCAACGGATGAGAAGAAAAGCGTCGATCCAGAGTTRTTCAAGGCCGTAGATGCACTCCGCGCCCTCCGGAACATAGCCAAGGAAGTYACCCGAAAGCTACAGATCCGCCGAACGGTCAAGGGTGAGGATCCATCGACACCTATCGTTTCCAGCACCGTTAAGATCGACGGGGATGCGGAAGTCTGGCAATCCCTCGTCGATGATGTAGACGTGTGTCTTCACGAGTTTCGTTACCGGTTCAACAAAAAAATTCCTCCCTTCAAGCGTCGCCGCTCCATCGGCAAGAAAATCCTTGCGCTTCCTGCCTTGCCTTTTCGGGGGAAGGCCAAACCCAGCCACGAAGAGCTGTACCAGGGCCAGAATGAACCAGTGGTGGCATTCGAGTGTCCATCAGACCGAAGCTTCTTGTCTCTTCCAGAAGCTCCATCAAATGTTACGCCGGCCGATCGAAAGGCAATAGCCGATGGAATAGGTTCCATCGTGCCCGGTGATAAGATCGATGTTCGAATAGAGGGGCGAAAGTGCCCCGCTATCGTTACAGAGGTTTACCCGAATGCGCACGCGGCATATGTGAGCTTTGAGGATTTGCCTTCGCTCTACAATGACTTTTGTTTGTTCGATCACCTCCGCATTTCCTCGGTGGGGGGTAGCTGTCTCGTGCCGCCGTTGCCCGAGGACGTCGTGGTTGGAAAGCTGTTTGTTTGTTTGATAGGGAAAGACGAGTACCGCGGTGTGGTTCAGCGTCTGAAGAAAGGGCCGATGGTTCGGGTCCAACTAGACTTTGGGAAAGGACACAAGACCGACAAGCTGGTGGATGTGGACTCAATCCTGTCGCTGCACAAAATCAAAAAGTGACTGATCGAATCTGGGACTTGAAGCAATGGAAAGTTTAGATGAGCCGTTGAGAATGCCCGAAATGATTCTGTTCTGGATGCGTCCAAAATGCAGCGCAAGAAGATGGGACGCAAATAGCCGAGAATGTCTGAAGCAAATCTGTTGCAGATATGGAGAAGAGGCCGATCGAAGACGAGACCGAGAGCATAAACGAGGGCACCAAAAACTCCCCATGAAACTCGAAGAGTGAATAACAGGAGGTCCTTGAGAAATGGGCTATKCATGGACCTGTGTAACCCATATTTTTGATGAAAGTGGAAACATCCATAGAAGCGAAATAACGAAAGATAGGACAGCCGCAGAGATTCGATCGAATGCATACGCACTTCACCCCATGCCCCGAAACGGAAGCGAACCCATAACAGAGACTGGAAATCAAGTTGAAGTCGCGATTTAATCGTTACATGATACCTTACTAATTGATCTATTGAAATTACATTATTGCTAAATATTATCTTGCGTCATTCTCAATTCGTCTTCGCTTGTGAGGGATGTCGATGGATTGTTGTATTGATATTCCGAGCAAACAATGGTTTCCGTTTCCTTGGCGTTCTCCAAACTAGGAGCGGCACCGCAGCACAGCGTGCAGCAGGGGCAGGCTACCCTTGGTTTTCGCCCCGCGCAATCAGCGGAAAACTCCCTTGGCGCCTCTTCGCAGGGTGGCGAAAGGAGGAGGCGGTCCAGGCCGGAAGCCAGCAGATTATCTTCGAGCCGAGCCACGTCCAGCCGAGTCCCCGCGACGGCAGAAGGCAGGACACCCGACAGTCTGTTGCCCTGCAAAAGGAGCTCCCTCAGCCGGGCCAGTCGCCCGATTTCCTCTGGAATCGTTCCCCCGAGGTGGTTCCCGGACAGGTCTAGGACCTCCAGCTCTGAGAGCAACCGGATCTCTTTGGCACGCGGCAGCAAGCCGATTAGGTTGTTTCCCGGCAGCGAGAGCTCGACGATGTTCTCGTCGCTTCTTTCTGCACCTGTTTCTCGTTCCGTCTCGCTCCCTTTATTATCGCTCGAGCCTTGACCATCGAGCGCAATGGGAGCGACACCGCCTATTGTTTGTTCGAGACGGCAGGTAATTCCCTTCCAACTGCAAATGTCATTCGGGTGATGGAAGTGGGAAGCCATGTTTGGTGGAAGTATGGTGGTTTGGGAGGAGGAATTGCTCGACCTAGTTGTGGGCTGAACAGAGTCCTCTCGGAAGGAATCATAGGACATCCAACCCTCCGAGTCCGTCCACAACTTTCCGTTCCAGGCGAAATACATCGTGGCTAGGACGTATCGATTGACAATTTGGGATCGCGAAAGCGCTGTCTCGCATTCGTACCGTAGTTGGTAATAGTCGGGGGGACGAAGCCGACCTTCTCCTCCGCGGAAGGGTGTGTTTGTAGTTGTCGTTGTGGCTGTCGCTGTTTCTCTGCGGCGGCAGCGCACCGCGCGGGATAGCCACGCCAGCGCGCTGTGCTGCGGCGATCCCTTGAACACGATGGTGTCGTCGTTCCGCCGGCTGGAGATGTAATCAAGAAGGTCGTAGCCCCCCAGCTCGGAAATCTCGGACACAATGGGGGAGAGTTTGACTACCAGAAATTGGAGCCGGGCATTCTTCGTTTCTTCTTCGCCGCTCCCGAGGTTCTCGMTGTTTCCAAAGCCACCTGTTGCAGTATGCGGAGTGTGGGCGCTTCCCCCACCCGCAAAGGGTGTTCCCGTGAGGTTCCCGCGAAAGGGGGCAGTTCTATTGTCGTTGTTTGCAGAAAGCAACAAGGAGAGCCGCTCTTCCTCTCCCGGGTCCTGTATCCCGAAATACGCTCCAAGAGCAGCGGAGGAAACCAGTGCTGTCGCAAGGAACGTAACCCCAAWTTTTTTCCTGACGAAATGATTCCGCCACTGCTTTTGCCCGGTGCCAATATGATTGCTGCCATTGCTGGCTACTTTGCATGTCTTCGGTTGATCGTTGTCTCCATTGGGAAGCATCCTGTACCCGATTTCACCTCCTACGGATATGGCAGAAGTAGCGGTGACGATAGCTATACATTGGAGGGCGAGCAGGGCGAGTGCACTCTCTRCGTTTCCCGTGTTTCCAGCGTGGCCTAGTGGTCTGCACTGGAACGGAGATACCGAGCAGGCAACGTCGTCGTCGTAGTCGCGGTACCCGAACAATGCGTTGCCTTCGCTGGAGGAGCTCCTTGTAACTATCCTTCCGAGCGCGTCGACAGTTCTGCTGCTTCTGTCGCTGCTGTTGTCGCCATCGCTTTTCTTTCGAATCAATCTCCGGAGTCCATCTTTGGCGGATAGATATATCTGGAACGCGTACGAGTCGTCTTCTGGACCGCACGAGCTTGTCTCCTCTTCTGTCAGCGGCKTCCCCGATTCATCTATTGATGGGAYCCCCGCCTCAGGCATGCCCGCGATTGTCGGAATTGGTAGAGGTCTCTGGGAATTCATTCTGTATTGCAACGATGTCATTGTTGATTTGTTGGGTTGATGGTGAAAGAAACGCAAGCATCKCGGCCGAGACGAGGCAAATTGCTTTGGTGTTCGACTGGGTGATTTGCCACACCTGCTGTTTGTTGTTATTTGTTGTGATCAGTTTTCGTAAAAGTATGAAAGAATTGTTGTCGACAGTCGTCCTTCAAGTCGTCACATGTCATTTGTTGTTTCCCAGATTTCCAGAAAGGCTTTCACAGTTTCCCTATCGCGGTATGGACGTAATCACCGAATTTTTAGAATATCAATCAAGTGCAGATATCCTCTTGCGATGTTCGAAAAAGAACACAGACTGTTGTTCTTTTTCCTTTCACTTTCGTTTTACTTAACGAGTTTTTATGCACGTACTCGTATCAGTACCTCTGGTGGTATCGTATGGTAGGTAGTAGCAGGGGTCACCCCTGGGTAGTAGCACTTGTACTCGTTGCATACATTCCATGTGGGAATCAGGAATCACCGTGACAGATGGCACGTATGGCACGCCAGACCGAAAGGGTACTACGATACGTTCTTCACGGCTATGAAGTAGAAGGACGAAGTACAGCTGTCAGATGATTACTTCGTAGATGATAGGTTACTGTAAGAAGGTAACTATTGACCCTACCAATCGTAGATACCGTATGACTGCTATTTTCCGGATTTTGGGAACTTCTTACTAGCATTTTCAATTTAAAATTTATCATCGGAATGAAACGATTGGTTTGTTTCTATCATACAAACGCCATCCGTGTGGAACGATGCATGGTCCGGGKTGCAAGGATCTCTGTGAAACCTGCCCATTTTGATAGACTGGGATGCAGCCAATACGCCATTTGGTTTGTTGCGGTTGAGACCCACGCCGGGAGCGGTTGCTGGCGTGCACGATGTGCGCGAATGCAGGTGCCACGAGACCATCTCGGAGTCTTGGTTTGTGCGAGTTTGGTTCCGTGTCGTTGCATCGGCGCCCCGCCCCGCCCCGCTGCTTGCTTTTACCACCAGACCCACGATTTGGTCCGCGGCGCTTCCGGTGCCAGGCCCTCCGGAACGGGGAGGCCCATCCGTTCGTGGAGCTCCCGGCACAGCTTCCCGGTCCCAATGTCCGGGAGGAGCGAGAAATACCGGTCCAGYGTATCGAGCGTGGTCCCGTCCTTTCCCGCTTTCAGGAGGGGCCGGCTCCGGTCGGTCCGCCTCGCGTACTCGTCCGGGTTCTGCTCCAGCCGCTCGATCTCGGCCAGGCCGGTCTCCGGATTGTACGGGTCGAGGTACACGAAGGAATCCGCCCGAAAAATGTCGTATACCTCCCTGGATCCGTAGTAGATGGGGAGGCAGCCGCCCAGCAGGCCGTACAGGAGCTTCTCCGTCACGTAGCCCTCCTGGAGGGTGTTCTCCATGACCAGGCAGTACTTGTAACGGGTGTAGATGGTTAGGTAGTTCGTCCGGAAGGAGGTCCGGTCGTTGTTTCTCCATTCGAGTTCGAGTGCGTCCTCCGGCACCGGAATCCCCCCGTCGACAGTGCATTCCCCACCGTAGTGGAGAAAGGAGGTTTCGTCGGTCTCGCGCCGGTGCTCGGAGAGGGCGTCGACGCTGTCGGTGTCTTCCTGKTTGCTGTGTGGGACCCCCGRATCGGGCACTTCGTCTTGCGAAGTCTCCCGTTCTGCGATTGCCTGTAGGTGCTGTTTGATCCGATCATCGAGAAGGCCGGTTGACTGGTTCTTCCTGTTGAGTGCCACCGCCCTCGCGTGTAGACCGGCAAAGTCGTTGTCCGGGACCTCGCTCCCATCCAGCAGCCCCCGGTGCCGGTCGCCGGATTGATCGCGCTCGCCGCCTTGGACCCCCGCGTTCGGGCCCGGAAAGGTTTTCGCCAGGAGCTCGGCCGTGGACTGCCGAAAGCCGACGCAGTTTCGGGAGACGTACACCGCAGCGGGAATCCGCTCGTAGGGCTCTTTGTAACCTTCCCCGTAGCCGTTGCCCTCCGCCAGTTGCTTCAGCCCATCGAATGACACAGCGTTGGTTTTCTGCGGTGTCGCGGACTCTTYTTCGTCCTTCAGCTCGAGAAAGGGGTTCACGTCCGCGGGGTCGAGCTCGACGGAAAGCTTTTTCGGCAGGTACACGTTGCCCAGCAGCGCCACGGCCATCTGAAATACACCCAAGCTGTGTTCGTTGTAGAAACGGTCTTTGGGCGAAAGATCATCCTGCCGCACCGGATAGGGTCCCAGCTGGAAGATCTTGTCGAGCCTGTGCCTGGCATCGGTGCTGTTGCTGTTGCTGCCCCCGTTCCCGTTTCCGTTTTCATTGTCCCACTCCCACTCCCACCACGCGTTCGACACCGGGTTCCCATGGGATTCTCCGTTGACGTATAGAATTTTCCCCGAAAAGGAGGTGCGCTCGTCGCCCTCGTCGTCGTTGCAGGACGGGCCCCAGAGGCCCACCACCAAAATGTCGTTGTCGTGGTTGGTGTCTGTGTCCTCCGAGCCGGAGTCCTCGAGCGCCCAGGGCTTGTTACCCACGAATTCGTACCCGGGAAATACGTGCTCGACGAGAGGGAACTTGTAGCCGCAATAAAAGAGGCGACCGCGGGGTGCAGCGCGGGCTTCGGCTCCGGCTTCCACCACCGAATCGTACGATTGGGGAGCGAAGCGGGAAAGACACGCGGCATTCACCAGCACGACGATGCCCRTGGCCAGCAACGGGATTATGCGGCGGCGATGCAACCGGTGTCCGACGTTGCCCTTCCGCGTATGTGGGAGAGTCGTTGGATACCAAGCGCTCTTGCCTCCGCCGCTCGCACTTCCGCTCCGGTGGTCTTCGTCGCCATCGTCCTCGCAGGTCGTGTGACTGTGCATCCTAGTTCTGGTTCTGGTCCTTTTCCTGGTTGTTGCAGCTGCGGGTGCAACATCATTGTGCCTATTTTTCCCGTCGATAGATCCGTGCCTTCCCATTTCTTGTTCGGCTCGCCGTCAGTCATCATTCATGACAGCGCTTCTTCCTCCTTACCGGTATAACATGTTCCCTGGGCCCTCCGGAACCAACGCGCGCGCGTCCCCCCTTTGAAATCTAATATCGGGGGTATGATTTCGTGGGTATTTTTTCAAATAAAATAACCCACGTTTCTAAAACGTGGGTTATTTTTCACAAAAAATAACCCATGTTTTAAAACGTGGGTTCCTGGGTTCCTGGGTTCCTGGATTAACCCACGAATAACCCACGAAATAACCCACGAAAAACCCACAAACCTGCTGGGCCTTTTTCCAAAAATTAAAAACAGTGATTAATTAAAATACTCGACATCCTTGGTTCTCCATAAACCCAGATGACTGTAAATTCTTGGGTTATTTGTGGGTTATTTTTCAACTTTAAAAAAACATGTTTTAGAAACGTGGGTTATTTTTCACCAAAAATAACCCACGTTTTTCTAGGGGAGGAATTCGAAAAGGGGGATGTGCGCGTGGGTACCGGAGGGCCCTGGTCTTTTTGTGATACTAGTGATAGAAGCTCAATATCGAGAGTGACCGATCGAAGTTTTCAATTACAAATTTTGATGGACTGACAGACGGGGATACTGAATGAATCGATCGACCCTTTTGATCGCCGCTGTCGAAAAAAAAAGTTGTACGTAAATTTACGTACCGGTAGACCCTTCTTCTAGCAAAAACTAGAGTAAGTAAAGGACGCTCGTGATTTAGGCTCACAATGGGTGATTCCCGTTACTCTAGATCTCTAAAACTCTAAATCTAGGGATCTAGAGTAACGGGAATCAAAATATTCAACGGACAGACTGAGAGGATGCCAGCTCGATGCCAGTCTTTAAGGGAATTTGGAATCTTAAGTAATTTTCAACGTAAAGACTAAAAAGACTGAAACGCGCGCCATGGTTCAAAGTAAAACATGAAATTTTCGATACTCAACAAGAACTAACATAAATCAATTCACTCATTTTTTACTTTTTTTTTGTAGAAAAGAATGAATGGATTGATTTATGGTAGTGACTAGAGTAACGCTTACGAGGAGCCGACAAACACACTAAAAGACAACAGATTCCTCCCAGCAAAACAAAAGGCAACATCGATCGAACGACATTGACAATGGGAGTCGTGGAAGTGGTCACCATGTACTGGTATATTCACCTGAATTACCAAAGTTACAAGAAAAAGCTCTCTCCTGAGGAGAGACGTCGTAGGGATAGGAGAACCCCAAGGATTGCAATTAGAAGATATGCTGAATCCTCCTTCCTC